GTGGAACAAGCAAAGAGAAAACGAGAGGGAATCGAGCCCCAATGCCTATTTTTTTCTTGTTTCATATATCTGAAAATACGAGTTAGCCTTTGATGTTCCAAGTAAAAATAAATTAAGAAAAGAGGATGGTGTCCAAAAGGCACGTAAAGCGTTGTGGCTGGACTGCAGATGGTGAAAATTATTTGGGGATTAGATATATTCAGTGATTATATCCCATAGACCTATTGAAGAAGTCGCCTTCGGCAAAGATATGTTTCAAATGATTCATCCTCAGGTCTGTTCAGTGGTGGAAGTGAGAATTGCGCGGTAGAAGTTTATACAACCAATAAGCAGCAGGTATACGAGATGGGCTTGAAGGCATTCGGGTGTCGGTGCTGTATATTTAGAAGCTCCGTTTTCCGCTTTCGAAATTTGCCCTGACGTATCGTGCTACGGAAGTCTTAAACATTTGCTGATTAATACGCCGATGTATAATCATCAACTAACCCAGATTCCTGAAAGCATTTCTTGATTGAACGTAAAGTTTTCTAATCCCTCGATCTTATCTTTTTAGATCAAGGAGACCCTTCAAACCAGCCTTCCGGAGGCCGTTTTGCTTTAATCGATTGTCATTCGGAATTCAAACTTTTGTATTATCTACTTACTCCTTCTCCCAATGACAGATCCTGCACCGTTTACCCTGTCCCTGGTTACGACAAGAAGAAGAAGTGACTGGTTTACCTGACAGCCAAAAACTTCATGAGGCACCAGTCGTTTGCAGGTTTTTAGTCCGAATAACTTACAAAAACCACTTCAGCCAGGGCGAATCCTCCTCCCATTAGAATGAGGACACCCCAAGAGATCCGACTCTGCACAAGTTCCCAGGTTACGAGGCTGCTGTTGATCCTCTTCCGGGCATTCTCATCTAAACCAAGGTAAAGAAGTGATAAGGTTGAGCCATTGCACCATCGATTGAGACAGGAACAATAACCTTCCTCAGCAGATGCCAGAAATGCATACTGGAACCCAAGTTCGGAAACATACCAACGGAATACACCATCCACGACTGTGTCAGGGATCTTCACCGTGATGTCACCCTGCTCACTGACGATATGAAATTGTAGAAGGTTGTTCAAAATACGGCAGATGAAAAGCATCTGCAAGCTTTCGAATTTGAGCCACCCATTTTTTTGCTCTTTATTCACGTGGGAATTTATTACCCTATATCATCCTCTCTAATCCTCTGCTTTGTTTGTCTGCATTTGTGATCAT